AACTCAACAAGGCCCAGGAGCGAGGAACAAACGTCAGAGGCCCCAGCACAGATTGAGGATAGACCGAAGTATGATTGGAGCACCCACGAATTTTCAGCACACAAGTCACATTGGCAGTGGTGATCTCGACATGTCGAGAGCCCACTTAAACGCCATTCAGACGCAAATGCAGGGAAAGGGCGGCTACGAGGCGTCCTTTGGTGTTAAGGTAATGACATCATTCAATAACTACCCCTCGGTGTCAATCTCTGACACTTCAGTTCCGTTCGTTGATGCGAACAAACGTTTTTTCAGATTAATTCAATTCCCCTATTGGCCCCCATTGGTTGACCTTGAATTACGGATGTACATTTAATCATTGGGTTCAACAAATTCGTCCATCCAATGCCAACCGGAGAACAATGACGGGAATTGGAGCTCGTTCACACAGAATAAATACCCTTTTACGATTCAATCGGAACGGGGGAAGGGACAGAGAGTTGGGGTCGAATATTTTTATGGCTCGTGCGTGTATATATACCCCAGACTGTCTCCATTTTTCCTCATTCTATTTTCCTCCATTCCAATCGCCCTCCGAAGGTCGGTGGAACAGCCAATGCAGCATGTCATTGGGGATTGAAATCATTCCTAGGAAAGATTCCGTCGTGAATAAATTTTCGAGGTGAGCCACACAGCCCTCATGAATGTGGTTTTGTATTCATCATCTTTCAACGATTTAAGATCCCTGTTTACATATGGAAACTCGTCGAAATTTGAAGGAATTTTGTTATTGAATATTCACAATTTTATTTAAAAATTAATGGAAAGTATAGGTTTTAGTTTAATTATTCCATAAAAAATTAGTAGAAAGCGGGAAAATTTAGCTTTATTTGAAGCTGAATATATTTTATTTAAGGAATCACGTAAAATGGGAAATTTCCGTTTTTCTACAGCTCAAAAATTGAAACATCCGCAGAAACATTCCGTTGTGAATAAATTTCGAGGTGAGACACACATCCCTTATGAATGTCTTTTGCATTCATTATTTGCCTACACTTTAATCCTGTGTGCATACATAAACTTGTTGAAATTTCAAGGGATTCTGTCGTTGAGCAAAAATTGGATTGGAATTGCATCAGAATTGGATTGAAAAATTCACAATTTCCCAGAAAAATTAATGCAAATTTGCAATTGTATTAAAAAATAAATGAAAACTAGATCTCAGTTTAATTATTCCATGAAAATTGGTAGAAATCAGGAAAATTCTGCTTTATTCGAAGCTAAATATCTATATTTTAATTGAAAAATCAAATAAAATGAGCAATTTTCTGTTGTTCTACAGCTCAAAATATAAAACATCCCTAGAAACATTCCGCTGTGAATAAATTTCGAGGTGAAACACACAGCCCTCATGAATGTCCTATTGTATTCGTCATCTTTCAACGATTTAATTCCCTGTTTACATAATTTTGTCATTGGAAATTTGCAATTTGATTAAAAAACAAATGAAAACTGTAGATTTCAGTTGAATTATTCCACGAAAATTAGCAAGAATCAGAAAAATTTAGTTTTATTCGAAGCTAAATATCTACATTTTAATTGAAAAACCAAATAAAATGAGAAATTTTCGTTTTTCTACAGCTCAAAAATTACCACATCCCCAGAAAAATTCCGCCGTGAATAAATTTCGAGGTGAAATACATATCCCTTATGAATGTCTTTTGCATTCATCATTTTCCAACACTTCAATTCTGTGTGCATACATAAACTCGTTGAAATTTCAAGGAATTCATTGAAAATTCACAATTAACGGAAACTGCAGATTTCCGTCAAATCATTCCATGAAAATTGCTAGAACTTCGAAAAATTCAGTGTAATTCGGTACTAAATATTCATGTTTCGATTCAAAATTCAAGTCAATTGGTGAAATTTTGTCTTCCATTAGCTAAAAAACTGAAGAATCCCCAGAAAATTTTTTGTCGTGAATAAATGTCGAGGTGACCCACGCAGCCCTCACGAATCTCCTCTTGTATTCATTATCTTCCAGCACTCTAATCCCCTGTTTACATACATAAACTCGTCCTTAACACAGAGATGAGAGAAACCGATTACAGGGAAATGAGAGGGAGGACAGAAGGGTATAAAAATTAAAGTGGAGCGCATTCCAGCGATGCCACGGGTACTCATTGTACTGCCGGCGTCGTTTCGATTGACCCGTGACATCCTCGTTGTTGGTCACAACCCGCAGAGCGAGTTACATTTATACCATGTGTCTCGAACGAGGTCACACGAGGTCAATCTCGTTTAATGTACCAACCGCTTCATCCACACCTTGTCAGGGTAATAAAAACAATGGGAATGAAGAGATATCGAGGATTCAGTGTGATCCCAGGGCTCCTCGTCACTTCATGTGCACGAAGATGAGGAAAAAAAAAGATTGTGGTCCATGTAAACAGCAGAGACTGCGAAACAAAGCCCAAAAACCAGTTTTTTTTCATCTTTCTCCTCTCATTTTCGACCACTCGAGGGCTAACCACACCACCCCGGTATGAAGAAGCACGTGCTGCACATGCATATGCGTCACAAGAACTTGGAACAATGTTGGACAGAACAATTCTCTGGACCCTGATAGGGGAGAGTGGGAATTCAAGGAAAAAAATTTTTCTTCATTAACTTTTGTTCATTAATTTTTTTTATTGGGAGAACTGATGAGAAGAATAATTTTCTATTCGCCTTATAATTCAATGGATTCAATCGATTAGATTAGGCCGATTAGACTTTTCTTTTTTCATTCGATTGAAATTCAGCATAACATTTGCCTTTTTCCCCCTTTTGCCTGGGTCTCCCCTTTTCAATTAATCCATTGACAAAATCTTATTCCGTTGAAACTTCTCAGTAATTTTCTGTTCTAGAATGAAAAATTATTATTCTCATGAAGAATAAAAAAAAAGTTAATAAACAAAAGTTGGTAAAAAAAAATGTTTCCCTGGTAAAACAGTCCGATTATTTCCGACTGAGTGATAAAAAAAGAATCGGCGTTAATGACGTTTCTGTCTTTGCCCGTTAAATTCCGATTGGCTGATAGGTAGAGTTTGGAGTTTGAGAAAATTATGAGAATTAATGGGAACAAGGGTATGTGGCCGTTATAATAAATATTTAAATGAGCAATATATATTAAATATTTATTTTTACATTTACTTTGAAAATGTTCAGCTTTCTTTCAATGTTTTTTTGATTGCACAATCATAATTTTCGGAGACTCCAGGGCTATGAAAAACCGAATGGCAATTGGAGATCATTTTAGATTATCAAAATAAAAAAAAACAACCAAGAGCTCGTTCGAAAGATAATCCACTCAGGCCTTAATAAAAAAATTATTTTTTGCTTCAATCGCGTCAAACAGTCGTTTTTCGACTATTCCATTTTGCCCTACTCACCCCTAATCATTCACATTGGAATTCCAAACAAAAAGCACGGATTCTCGCATTTACCATTGCAATGCTCAGAGGCAATAGTTATCACTCGTTTAATGTTAACATGTCATCACTCTATTTACACGTCAATATAGTCCACTGGTACACAGAGCCTCTTGTTCATAATCCCGAAGACGCTGGCCTGCTGTTCGATGACTTGACTTGAATTTTTTCCCCCCCTTGAATACCCACATTATTTTTTTACTTGTTTTATTGAACCCCTGGTAACATGTACACTCTCTGACCGCACGAATCGTTCATCTCAACTCGGCTTGGTAAGTTCTGCTGCCTCGATATTCGTTGTGAATTCTCTCTCAGTTGTACCGTTTGCTGATCGTGGGCTGTGCACCTCTTGCGGGATTAATTCTCGTGGCTGTTGTTCCTCGGTTCACAAGATCGAATCGAAACGTGTGCCGGGGGGTCAGGGTCGGGAACTTTGTCGGCTCTCGAAGATCTTTAATCATGAAAAAAATGAGGGGAACGATGGGGTGAGACAGTAAAACTCGAATGTTGGAGGGAAAAAATTTGTTTTTTCTCTTCTTTTACAGGCTTGCTGAGACACAGTTGCCCCGAGGGTACTCGAGACAGACTTGTGAGGCCTTCGGACGATGGCGGATCTACGATGCAGCCCTCATTTTGTAAATAATAAAATAACGAGAAATTTCAATGGCTTCCCATGCATGCGAGAGAGAGACTGCTTTCAACAATAAGAGATCGGATTGACGATCGTTTTGACGCTGCCAAGAGGAACGAAAAATGCGGATGACCATAAGCGTTTTTACAGCCTCAACGAGCCGAATTATGATAATTATCGAGGATTAACGCACAATTGTATTAATCGGCTCTCTACGTATCCCTCTATTGTGATAAAATGCGTTTTTCACCTCTAATCCATGCTCAAGTGTTCTTAAAAAATTTTGCCACTGCATTGCCACTTTTAAACAATTGTACAACGTGTTTGACAATTTTTTTAACAGTCCCAAAGTTGGTGATTAATTTTTGGGAAGATATTTGAGTCACAGCTTGTAAGTAAACCGTTTATTTATTTAAGCCTCTCTCATGTATATTAGTCAGGATGTTAAGAATTTATGGATTAAGTGTCTTATTACTTAAGCATGTGTAAAGTTAAGATACCTTTGAATTAAGGGTTCAGAGGGGTTGAGCGATGATTCCAGTATTTGGGGATTTTTTGACACATTGTACTACACTCAATGATCGTGTGCAGAATAATTCAACACTGGGTGAATCAGTTGTTTTATATTTTGAGAACAATGACGATTGAGTAAATTAGTCAACAGTGCAATAGTGGAAGACCGTAACAATTGTGCCACTGAGACAATTCAAACGTTTGTACAACTGACGTCAAAGTGATTGATAGAAATTTGAGGGATTGTTCACTCTCGCAACGATACTTTATCCGATAATTTTTTACCCATGGAGTATTAATGGGCGATTTCAATCTTAGAAGTTAAAGAATTATGACTGTAACTTGTATTTGGAATAAAAGCGGTCCAGTGGTGACGAATGTAAAAAAATGAATTATTTTATTCATCTTGAACTGTTTATTGTTTACTGTCACATGAAAATGATTGTTTTTAAAGTATCGACAACTTTCTTCCCAGGAATTAATCACTACCAGCAGCAGCAGCGTCCTCTCCACCGCTCCCTGAGGCGCTGTCGGATGTGGCATTTGACTCCTCGTCAGAATCCTTTAATACTTTTCCTTTGAAATTTTTCTTGGGTCTGGTTGTTTCAAAGTCAGAGTCTTCCTCGTCGGACGAGTAAATCTTTTCTTTTTCTGAAGAGCAAAGTAAAATAGTGATTGAATGAGTAAATTAAGAAGATTACAGTGTTGAAAATTTTTTGCCTGCAGTTACTCTGAAATTGCAAGGAATTTCGGTATTGGAAATGGAAAATTTTTATGGAAAAATCAATGGACACTGAATGAAGTGGATGAAATACAGTAAATGAACGAGTGACACAATTTTATTAAGACATTCATGAAAACTATAGATTTTAGTTTCATTATTCCATGAAAATTAATAAGTCAGGAAAATTCTGCTTTATTCAAAGCTAAATATGTATATTTTAATTGAGAAAATAAGTAAAGTGGGAAATTTTCGTTTTGCTATAACTCAAAAATGAAAACATCCCCAGAAAAAATTACGCTCTGAATAAATTTCGAGATGAGATACATATCCTGTATGAATGTCCTTTTGTATTCATCATTTTTGAACGATTCAATTCCCTGTTTACAAACTTGTCGAAATTTAAAGGAATTTTATCATTGAAAATTTACAATTTTATTAAAAAATTAACGAAGACTGTAGATTTCAGTTTAATTATTCCATGAAAATTGGTAGAAATCAGGAAAATTAAAACTTCAAGGAATTTCGTCATTGGAAATTGAAAACTTTTATGGAAAAGCCAATGCACACTGAATGGAGTGGATAAAATACAGTAAATGAACGAGTGAATGAACATTACCTTTAGCTGGTGCTCCTTTTTTGTATTTACTCTTGATAGCAGCGAGTGAAATAGCCCCCTCGTCATCCGAGCCATCATCATGATAAGCATCAGTCCCATAGCTTCCAGAAGCCCTCGTTGAGCTTCGTCCACTTCCACTGGACTTCTTGGTTTTGGTCTGGGCCCTCATGGCGACTCTCAGTTTCTCCTCCTCCTTCTTAATCATCTCGTATCGATTCTGATCAGGATTCATCCCCACTTGCGACAGAACCTTGATCCCTGAAGTCTTCTGAGATCTGTCGGCCAACGACATCGTCATTTTTCTGTGGGTGAAGGACTCAGTGGAGTGCGGCCTGAACGTCAATTTCGTCCTGAAAACTGCCTGCCCCTGGAGCCCAGTTCCCTGTCTGATGTAAAGGTGATTGTGGTCCCCCTGGAGTGGCTGCTTGTAAACATCAAATATCTCAGAGCCCAGATGGAGAGACATGCTTCCATCAGACCACCTTACGAACCTCGCATTGCTCTCCTTCCTCATCTTCCCATCATCCCCAAAGACGTCCTTCCACCTGTGGTAATCAGGGTTTACCGACAGATTAAATCGTTTTTTATTTATTAAAATACACTTATTGTTTCGCAAGGTAGATTTCTCAAAATTTTAGCTAGTATCGTGGCAAAAATTTACACAATTTCTTTTTTCATGAATTTTTGAAACTTCGTACATTGAGAGAAAATCGTTTGTTAAAAATGACCAAAAAAGGATTTTTTTGTGTCAAATATGCGAACCCCGCGCTGAGATTGAAAATTTTTATTGCAAAAATGGAGTAAGTCTTTTCAAAAAAAATTATTCTCTGTTCCCAGCAAATGTTCTTTTTATATGAAACGAGGGATAGTAGTTTGTCGTTTCGGCTATTCAATAATCACAGACAAAATTCTTAAATGAAATAATAATAATATGACAGCAATTTTGTAACTTGGGGACAAAATATTTCTGTAAATTTCCCTCTGCAAAAGATATTTGTATTCTAAAAAGGCATCGTCTTGTATGAGCAATAATTCATGTTTGAAACTTTCAAATTCGAACCAAAAACTTTTTTTTTGTAATTCTCAACTAACGATTTTGTTGGCTGAGACAAGACTTGTTTGAGAACTTGTTCGTTTTTCTCTCAATGTATGATATTTTCAATTCTTCAAAGGATTAATTTCATTAATATTCTCATCGTGATTCCCAGGTGAATTATCCCCTACCTGTTCATCGTATTAATCTCGTAAAATAGTTTGAAATTTCTGAACTAAAATCCTTACAAACCTGATGGTATTCTCCACCTTGAGCTTCAACCTGGCCCTTCCCTCCTCGTCCAGCGTCTCCTCCTCGTCAATCTCATCCTCATACGTCTCATGGTCGAACGGTCTAGTCTCCACAGACAAGAAATTGGGCAGTTTAACAAAATGAATTTCCCTCCCAAGATCAGTCGTTATTTTCGGAATCTCGACGTCGATCCTGGTCTCTGGAGGGGGTTCAGGCTCATCCTCCTTCTCTTTGTCCTCATTATCCCCCTGAGTGGGACCCTCACCCCCACTCTCAGAGCGTCCTCGACTGCGACTTCTGCTTCTCGATCTACTCCTACTCCTGCTTCTGCTTCTACTCTTACTTCTACTCTTGCTCCTGCTTCGGCTCCTGCTCCTGCTCTTTCTCTTCTCATTCCCTTCCTCTGGTTCCCCCTCCTTCTCCTTCTCCTCATCAGTGCTGATGTCACTGGCATCACCGAACAGCGCATCAGCCGTGGGTTCAGGGTCTTTTGGCTGCTCCCCCTCGTCCGAATCCGAATCAATCAGTGGCCTCTGCTTCTTCGGCGGTGCCTTCTCAGTGTCTGAACCTGAAGCACTGCCCTCTCGTTTTCTCTTCACCTGTTCAACATCACTGTCATTATCACTTCCCCCTTTGCTCTTGGGACTAGTGGCTCTTCCACTCTCAGGAGATCTGTTTCTACTTCTTGGACTTGCAGATCGTGATTTCGATGGGGATTTAGATCCGGATTTGGATCTGGATCTTGACTTTGATCTAGATTTGGATCTTGACTTTGATCTAGATCTCGACTTGGATCCTGACTTGGATCTAGATTTAGATCTAGACTTGGATCCTGACTTTGATCTAGATTTAGATCTTGACTTTGATCTAGATTTAGATCTTGACTTTGATCTTGATTTGGATCTTCCACTTTTTGGAGAGCCACTGCGAGATCTCGCACTCTCAGGGCTTCCACTGCCTGATCGTGCAGTCTTGGGGGATCCTGGGGAGTCCGATCGTCTGCTAGTTCGTGACACGTGACTCCCTGAACGTTTGCTCTTCAGGGATGATGGACTCCCCGATCTTCTGCTTCTCGGAGATCCTGAGGCATTAGATCTCTGGCTTCCTGATCGTCTGCTCCTTGGAGAGCCTGATGCATTTGACTTACGACTGCCTGACCTAGATCTCGAGCGATTGGATTGATTGGATCGTTGGCTTCCTGGGGATTTGGGGCTCTCGGATCTTGCACTGCCAGCTGGGGATCCTGATCTGCGGGAGCCTGATGCACTTCGAGATCTTGATCTACGTGAACCTGACTGGTTGCTCCGGGGGGATCCAGGGCTTGAGTGGCGGGAGCCTGATCGAGCTGGGGAAGCTCCTGCACTTGGGGCTGATCTGTGAGTACTTCTGGAACGACTTCGACTCACTCGTTGGGATCCGGGGGACTGTGGCCCGTCCTCAACGTCTGAACGATCGTTCCTGGGGTTCCCTGGGGTGGGAACTGGGGCACGAGATGCCGGGGAACCACTGCGAGAGGAGGCTGATGAGGCTGAACCACTCTCTGATTCAGAACCTGAGGGAGAACGAGATTTCCAGGATTTTTTAAGCAGTTCTATACTGAGAGAAAAACAAACACGTTGTTAAACAAGTCTTGTTTGGGCCAATAAAATCGCTAGTTGACAATTGCCAAAAAAGAATTTGTTCAGTTCGAATTTGAAAGTCTCAAACATGAATAATTGCTCTGCTTTCGACAGCAACGAAATATTTGGCTCAAGAGGCGGATAATTCACACCAGACGGTGCCTTTTCAGGATGAAAATATCTCATACAGAGGAAAATTTATCAACAAATATTTTATCCCTAATTACAAGGTTTCTATCGTATCATTATGATTGTTTCAGTTAAGGGTTCATTTTTTGTCTGTGATTATTAGACAGCCGAAATGAAAAACTACTATCCCTTGATTCGCATAAAACAAAGATTTTTCGGGAGCAAAATACGAATGGGAGTATGGAATATCAAAGGAGTAGTGCTAGAAATAACATTTCTTGCATGTAGGGGACGGTGGGGCAAAATGAAACACGGGGCAAAATGAAACAGCAAGAAAATCTTGTGATCTAAGGGAGATAGGACGATTTTCATGGGAACCTTTTTTGTAGAGAATTTTACAAGCTACAAAAAAGGTCCTCTTCAAAAATGTCCTATCTCCTTTAGATGACGAGATTTTCCCACTGTTTCATTTTGCCCCGTGTTTCATTTTGCCCCATGCTTCCCTAAAGAGAATGTAATTTTTTTTGAACTACTAAATCTATTTTTTCGACAAAAATTTTTCATTCTGGCGCATTCTCTGCATGTTTGGCACAAAAAAACCCTTTTTTGATAATTTTCAAAAAACTATTTTCTTGGTACAAGTAAGACTTGTTTGAGAACTTTGTAGTTTTTCTCTCAGTGTAGTGAAGCTGGAACTAGCGGAATATTCGACAATGGAAAATTCCATTTGGAGTTTTTTGAGGTTTAAGGGTCAAACAAACGCAGGGGTAAATTTTTTTGGGTAAAAACGAGTCGTTTCGTGCTTTAACAATGTTTGAAGGCCCTGAGATCTTGCTAGCCTCCACTTTCTAATTCTAACCTATGATTCACTCGATAAATGAAACAGAAAGGTTTTTGCGGGTGGAGTGTTTTGATTTTTAGGAGTTTTACTTACCGGAGTCTCCGGAGGAATCTCGACGGCTGAGTCCAGTGATTGGCATTATTTTTTAATTAAAAATTGGAATAATAACACGAGATCTTGCTCACGACAACTGTTTACTTAGCGGCTAAAATAAAACATAGAGCTGTCATTGTTACCAACACATGATAAGCTTTTTTATTCGAATGTAAAAATGGGAAACAACGTTCTGAGAGTTTTGATCATTTTAATTTCTCAATCTATTGCGGTGTACTTAAAAATGAAAATTTTAATTTTTATGAAACTTAACTATAACTAATAGAATTTCCAGTAAATTCCCAATCGAAATTCTTAGCGAATGCGCTATGCTTTCTCGTGTTTTTCTCTTCAAAACCGTGCATTCTTGTATTTTTTTCTTGAGAATAAATTATTAAAATACCGATGAATCCTAGAATATAAATTGAAATATTTTCCCCAACATGTCAAGGCTGCAGAGGAATCATGTCAGTGAAACGTATACTAACGAACTGTCTAAAATATGCAAACATCAGAAGGAACATGAAACTAATAGTAACTAGACAAAATAGGTTCAGCAGGGGAATGAGAATCGCCTAAATGGGGATATGATGGCTTCCATACCTTCAGGAATGTATTAATTAGCAGAAAAAAATCATTTGAAGTGAAAATACCGAAACAAAGAACAATTAATTTAAAAAATAGTTGAATGCAACCGAAACCCCTAATTTCTGGACGACTGGGCCGTAGTTTTTTTATTTATTAAAGGAAATGATAAAATTATACACGAAGAATATTATTGAAAGGTGAAATAATCAGTACAATTTTCATTTTATTTGTGGAACATTCAACGCAAGTTCAAATCGTCCAGAAACTAATCCCCATCCAGAGATTGACCTGTTCGCCCTACTAAATGAAGAAAAAATGCTAAAAAAATATTTAAACTACTCAAATTAATGAAAATATACTTGGGGTGGCTGGGGTAAAATGGACACTAGATTTTTTTAAAATTCCTCATAACTTAGAAACAAATTTACCAATTGACCTCAGTTTAGGCTCGTCACAAAGGGAAAGAGTTGTTCTTTGTATTGAAAAAAAAAAATTGAATTCTATCAACATTTCAATCCCTCATTAACATTTAAAAAAAAGTCAAAAGTGTCCGTTTTACCCCCCCCCCCCCATCTAATATAATGAATATTTAACTGAATATTTAACAAAATGTATCAAATTTCTTACAGGCTCGTCACAAAGGGAAAGAGTTGTTCTTTGTATTGAAAAAAAAAAATTGAATTTTCTCAACATTTCAATCCCTCATTAACATTTTAAAAAAAGTCAAAAGTGTCCGTTTTACCCCAACCTCCCCTACACTACATAAGATATTTCTCGAGAAGAAAGAAGTATATGTTAGTACAAATAGGAATAGCAAATGATTGAAACTACATCGAGTTGTAATTCTACAAATATTATCAAATAAATGCATTATTCCATGCAATCTAGCTAGCGCGCGTCTTTCCTAGTACNTTCTTACTAGAGTCACCAAGAACTTGGTTGTTGTTCCGAGTTTAAATAAATAAAAAAAATCAAATATTTATACTTCCAGACCCAAAATTCAACTGAAACTGCACATTTATGTACCGAGCAAAATCTCCCCGAGTTTGAGGATTCCCCCGCGAGATGGAGCCGGCAGTAACTTCCGCCGCGTCGTTTCCACGGACACGCGAGCTCCCGAGAAACTCGTCCGAATTGAAGTAGGGGAGAGTGGAAAGCACGGCGGTAGGGATGTAATGCCAAAGGGGGTACACACGAACCAGAAGGAAGAAGCTCCGTTTTAGCCCGAGTTAGTGACACCTGTTGCTCGGTAGGAAACATCCGTGGTTGACGGGAGCATGGCCGGTTCGTCCGAAGTTAAGACGCTTTTATCACGACACAAGGCGTCACTACTCCGTGAATTAAATACAACCGATTTGCTGAGTGTATTAGTTAAACGTTGTGTTATAACTGAAATTGACAAGGACGCGGTTGCTGGTAACGCCGATAGATCCGCTGTTGCGGACATTGATCTATTTATCGACGTCATCGGGGCTAAGGGGTTCGATGCATTCAGGGAATTCTGTTTTGCACTTGAGGCCGAGTGTCCCCATGTTCTCACGGATCTACTTGTTGATCAACACAGCCTTACCGGTGAGTAATCAGTAATTTTTGATATTTCGGTGGAAAATTCGGAAACTGGTGGAGAAATAAAGCTGAAACTAGGGAAAGCTTCGATTTAGGCGAATCTGGGGGGGTAAAGATATTTTTAAGTCATCAACTAATTCCTGTGTAGTTGAAAAGAAATTTATCATATGATTATTTGATCCGTAAACCCTTAAAATGCATAATTTCCACTGATTTTTCCGTAAAATTTTGAATTTTTAGTGATGACATTCCTTGAAATAGCAGTGAAATTATGATGCGATAAATATCTCCAATAAATATACCGGAAATTTTAGCCTAAAATTACCCTAAAACCCCGAAAAGCCCCAAACTAAAAAATTAAAGAAAACATTTCGCATGAATTCCGTGATTCCGAGATGAATGCACTGATTTTTCCGTAAAATTTTCAATTTTCAATCATGAAATTCCTTGAAATAGCAGTGAAATTATGATGCGATAAATATCTCCAATAAATATACCGGAAATTTTAGCCTAAAATTACCCTAAAACCCCGAAAAGCCCCAAACTAAAAAATTAAAGAAAACATTTCGCATGAATTCCGTGATTCCGCGAAAAAGTCAGTGATTTTTCCGTAAAATTTTGAATTTTTAATCATGAAATTCCTTGAAATAGCAGTGAAATTATAATGCGATAAATATTTCCAATAAATGTACCGGAAATTCCTGCCTAAAATTTCCCCTAAAACCCTGAAAAATCCTCTAAACTAAAAAATTAAAGAAAACATTTTGCATGAATCCCGTGATTCCGAGATGAATGCACTGATTTTTCCGTAAAATTTTCAATTTTCAATCATGAAATTCCTTGAAATAGCAGTGAAATTATGATGCGATAAATATCTCCAATAAATATACCGGAAATTTTAGCCTAAAATTACCCTAAAACCCCGAAAAGCCCCAAACTAAAAAATTAAAGAAAACATTTCGCATGAATTCCGTGATTCCGCGAAAAAGTCAGTGATTTTTCCGTAAAATTTTGAATTTTTAATCATGAAATTCCTTGAAATAGCAGTGAAATTATAATGCGATAAATATTTCCAATAAATGTACCGGAAATTCCTGCCTAAAATTTCCCCTAAAACCCTGAAAAATCCTCTAAACTAAAAAATTAAAGAAAGCATTTTGCATGAATTCCGTGATTCCGTGAAGAATTCACTGATTTTTCCGTAAAATTTTCAATTTTCAATCATGAAATTCCTTGAAATTGCAGTGACATTATATGATTTTACCAAAAATTTCGTGAATGTCAGTAAAATCTTGTGTTAATCCACTCCTTCCCTCCCCCAAACTCCCAAAGTTTATCATTTCACGAGCAGAATAATGAGGAAATAGTGGAGCAATCAAAATAGTTCATTACCCAAGTGTTTACGTAGAAAAGAGGAAATTAAAATCTAAATTGCCTGCCACTCTCGTGCGGCATTACCGAACAGAGACATCTCATTTTCCACCTTTTTTTATCCCTCGTCAACACGGTTAAATACAGAAATAAAAGAAACGTGCTCCTAGAGTTGCGGATGTACGGCTGATTAACGTTGAGAAATTCTCCCGCTATTTCATTCACAAGTACCCTATACTCGGCTAGTTTGAATTTCACTCCGGAAGAATAAACTTCCTCCCAAACAGTAATCCATTTTCTTATTTTTATTGTTCAGCCCATTGGGATCACTGTTTACTTTCGATCCCAGTGGTTGGGGAAAATCGTCATCGATGGGTCTTTCATCAGAGCTGATGTGATTTTACGCTCAGAAAGACAAATATTTTTTCCCCTCAAAAGGATCCACTCAGGCCTGCGATTATCCGTTTCCCAAGGCGTTTGCCAGTGCAAATAAACAGAGATGCTCTTATTCCCGATGCAAAAGGTCTTCTCGGAATAGTACAAGAAAAACATAAAAAATTATCAGTGGTTGACGTAATGTGAGTTGGCGCTGGACACATGGCCATCCGAGAAGTCCAACCTCTTGGGGGCTCGCGCTGGCAAATTAAGACAAACTTCTCGTTTTTATCTCCCTTTTCCTTTGTCCACACAATGTCTCTCTGCATTCAGTTAGTACTATCCCCCCCCCCGTTCCCTGCCCCTTTCAAACACTCCTGTCGAGGCCGTGACGTGACAGAATGCCGATGTATGCAGTCTATTCAGGTAGCACACGCAAGGCAATTCCCTCCCCCCAGCTAAGCCCCCTGGAACGAGCCTTGATTTTTCAATTTTTCCGAAAAACTGAGCATTCTTGTTGAATTCTCTTCCTCAGTATTTTCTGCACGCCCAACGGACTGTAGAATTTTAGTAGAGGGGGACACCGTGGGTATTGTTTTTCAACTGAAGACTCATTGTGCAACGTGGGAAGTAAAATTCCCACGGCAGGGAGGAACCCCTTCTTCACTTCCGTAACTTCTTAATTACCAATCGTTGATTCGTTGTTTCTTCACTCGGGTGTGCTCTAGTGTATGTGCAAGGAGGATGGGACGAGATGGGCATTCTATTTTGAGTTGAATTGGGTATTTGAGAGAAGAAATATTTCAGTGTGTGTTCAAAGATTGTATTTTAATATTTTAATGCACGAAAAGTGATGTTGTCAACGATTTTACAAAAAAAAAAAATGCGCAAAATGTTTTGAAAAAAAAATGCACAGAAATAGCGACAGATGATCCTCTATTAAAAAATAGGTGAACATTTGATGAACATTTTTGGTCAGCAATCTATTTCGCCCATCTTAGCTTATGAATAAAAAATACTTATTTATGTATAATATAAATATAAAACCTTGATAATGTTATTAATAATAATAACATTTATGTATTATGTATATAATGTATTATTATTTAATATATTTTCTATATAAATAAGTATTATTTATTCATAAATTAAGAGAAACTTGAAATATTCTTAAGTCTAGCATAGGCTTGACGAAATAGATTGCCGACCGAAAATATTTCAACCATTTTTTAATAGAGGATTGACGTGAAAATTGGTGGACAGTTCTTCGGAAAAGGTTACATTTTCACACTTGGAAAACACTTGCACCTGATTTCATAAATAAAGTGAATTTTTCGCCGTAAAATTTTTTGAATACATGAGGATCAAAAATAATCTGCAGAAATAAGGGATGAAAAAATTTAATAGAAAAACCTCGCAAATTCGTTGGAAAATTCTATTGCATTTCTACTGAATTTTCTGTTAGTTTTTGGCCGATGCTATTAAAATGCTCAATAGAGAATATTCAATAGAAAGTCAATAGAATTCGATTTTTTTATATAACTTATTCTATTGAGATATTTACTGCAGAATTTCCTCGGCTCGAATTTTCCAAGTTTTTTGTTTGATTTTCTTGACGAGAACAAAAGAAAAATCGAATGAAAAAACTTGGGAAATTTGAGCCGAGGAAATTCTATAGAAAATATCTGAAGAGAATAAGTTATATAGAAAAATCAAATTCTATCAACTTTTTCTGTTGAATATTTTCTATTCAACATTTCAGTACAATCGGCCAAAAACTAATGGAACGTTCAATAGAAATCCAATAAAATTGTCTAACGAATTAGCTAGGTTTTTCTATAAAATTTTTTCAGGCGTGATGAGTGTAGCCAATCATGCGCGCACGGAGCGCGCCCTTTTCCCAGTCATTAAAAAACCTTTCAAGATGTTCATTTTACTCTATTCGACCCCTCTTCGTCGGAAAGTCCTAATTGACAGAAAATTCTCCCCTAATTACGTAAATTATATTTCATTAGGACTTCTGCAATGACTTTGAGTTGTTTGTAGGACAGGAGATCAACGAAACTTGTCGTAACATCAGTCGTTCCCACCGCTAGACCAGTTTTAGCGTATCACATTTAACAGGTTCGTCCTACCTTGTGTTTTGTATCAGTCGACCTGGATAATCAGCGTGGTAACATGGCGCTCAATTGCGAAAATGAGGGAAAAACTTGTTTTAATAGTTTTTAATGTTGTCACTGCAGTTGGATTTTTCTGATCACTTATCGTGGTTGAGGTTTTTTCCACCCAATTCTTCACTTATTTGCGCTAAACTCCGGTGAAAATCGAGCCGTTCCTGGCACTACTGGCTAGTGACGGATATGGCGATCTTGGACTGGTACCGAAGATGGCACGACCCTCGTGTCTACTTATACCGAACAGTCCAGGACACAAGAAAAAACTCGTGATAAATACAAGGAAAAATAGTAGTAAGAAAATTGCAATTACTAGGAGATAAATAATGGCTAACGACATTTTTTAAATAGTCTTCAATTGTTCTCGGCTGTTTAATTCCATTCGGTAAAGTCGGCTGGGTTCATTTGTATTGCGATACAAATGACTGTCAATCCATTTAGGTGGAACCTCTTAGGTCTCTTCGCTAATGGTGCTGGCTCGGGTAATTACCACTAATTTTCCACCTAAACTGGGAAAGAAAGGATGTCATAATCCCCTCGGAACAGAATAATTTTTGACGAATCAGAGGAAGTGACTTTGTAATTCTGACATTCATTAACTAATTCTCACGATAACTGACACCTCAGATCGTGAAATCTGATCTTGATAACCTTGCACTGTTCGAATTGTTCTTTTTTTCTAATTTCACTGCTTTCAGTGTTCAAAAATTATTCTTGACATTTTTGTTACTGAAGAAAAGTGCGGGAATTTAGGCAATTATTTTTACGACTTCTCAATCAATTGAAAATTAAATTCAATGTAATATGAATCTGAAAAAGTCAATTTCATTGAATTCAGTAGCGAAGGGGTAAAGCGGTATAAGTCAGTTTTGACTATTCGCCAGTTTTCAATGAATATCTCGGAATCTAAGGGAGATAGTAAAATTGTTGTTATAACCTTTTTTGTAGAGCCGATTGAGAGCTACAACAAATGTAATTACGAAAATTTCGCTATCTCTCTTGGATTCGGAGATATTCTTCAAAAACTCACCTGGGAGATGAGTCGACTTAAATCGTTTTACCACTTCGCTACTGAATTAAACAATTTCCTCTGAAATTGGAGTTGCATTCGTAAAACTGAAAATTCAAACGGAACTGTCACTTCAATTTGAGATGAAATGGTTCTTCATATGCCTGAAGAATTAAATTATTTATCGATAAATAAATAATTGATGTATGGAGATGTCGTGTGAATGACTCGATGTTAAAAATTCAGAGCCTCGCAAAAATTCCGACCTTTGACCGCGAAATGTGGCATGGCATCCTCTCATCAATTAGCATGAATGATTGATGTGTTTATTCCGCAGGGGAGCATCAACAGCAAGACTGTGAAGAGGAGGAGGCGAAGCGTGAGCAGAAGCTTAGAGAGCAGGAGGCTGAAGACGAGGAGGACATAAAGGTTGTTAACACCATGGAAACGCCAACGCCGAGGGAACTCGACGAGCCCAGTGGTGCTGACATTAATGGCAGCGGAGAGTCCGACGACTGCATCAAAGAGTGGTGAGTATATTTCATTGCGGGACATAAATTTCGAATCAGAAGAAGGAATCGCCAGGGAATAGTTCTCAAAAATATCTTTATGACCTAGACTCATTATGTCTTAATTCACCTTCGAGCATTAGTAAAAATCTCGTAATTTATTACACCAATGATAAGATTGGATTTGAATTGATGGGCGCAACAGGCCCACGAGAGATACGAGTCCTATATAAAGATTTAAGTGCATCAGGCAACCAGTCCTGAACCGGAAACACAGGAAGCTAGCCTGCCTCCAGGCGTCGAACGCCCCAGCCTTCAGCTTGAACTCGTTTAAAATCGCCCGATAAACTCTTACTCGGGGAGATTGAAGGAAGTAGAACGATCTTATGGCCTCGGCTCACGATCAACTGCACATTTTTGTTCATTTATTTTTCATCTACGTACGAAATCTGCACTACTGACAATTTTTGGCTGAATTTTTGTCCATATTTGGACGTCCGCATAAAAAGGACCACTTTGTCGATATGGTGTTATGTATACTCTGATAATATTGATAACATTCCGCACATTTTGAGCCCAAAATGATCTTCATAGGGTCAAAAATGACATCTTGGAGAAGATGGAAAAAACAATTTAACATTGCTGCAAATGGGAGTTGCTGACACAAAAACGTGAATATCTCGGAAACTAGAATCGACAAAGTGGTCCCTTTTCATGTGGACGTCCACATTTGTTGAAATGTCGACAACTTGACATGACACACATGTCAAGACTATGTGTCATGTCATGTCTAGACTATGTGTTAAATGTCATTTTTTCAAAAATCGTTTTCTCGAAAAAATGTTCGGAAACTAAAGTTGATATTGCGCGTAAAAAAAAACTCGTGGTCTATTCTATAATCTCTGAAGAGGATTTCCCCCATAAAAAGTTGCCTGAACTGCTCGGCTATCCTTAATGCCACTCTGATCAAAATTTCTAGTTAACTGTCCACGAAATTGCAATATTTCTCTAACAGTTTGACCGTCACTTACAGCTTTCGTTGATTCTGCGAATGTAATAGTGGAAAACGAGAGCAATTGCGCTAGTAATGATTAGGAAACGAGGCAGACGTGAGTCACGCTGACCCTTCAGGGCGGACGTGAACAGTAAATGATTTCGAAATCAGTGTATGAGGATTTCCGGGACTCGTGCTTTCGTCGTGATCCATAAATCACCGCCGAGAATCCATAATTAAATTTTATTGATTAATATGCGGGGCAAAATTTTCTCGCGTTTTCATCAACCTCAGAACTCATTAAACTGATGGTGACGCCCGTCTCCGCGAATCTCGTGAGGGGTTTTACATGGGATTTGGTAGAAACTTATCTCTCTTATACATCGCATGGGAAGTTTCTGAGGGACAAAACTTTAAGGGATATTGAATTCAACGGTGGTGTGGGGAGGTGAGAATCTGAGAAAGAGAGACGAGGAGTTTCAAGAGGCTTTGGTGAATCGAATTTCCGGAATTGTGAGGGTGAACTTCGATGGAACAGCCTGCATCCAAACCGGGTAGGGAAATTCCCGAGATTTTATTAAATTCTAGCTGTCCCGGATTATCACGACACTTGAGACACTACTGCAGAACAGGATTTCTGTCTGAATTTATCGCGTCCATATCAGGAAATTTTTTATAAGTGCAATTCCGGGAAATTTATTCATTGCAATGGAGAGAGATGTTCAGTAAAAATTACGGAACTCAGTTCACTCACCGATTACGGAATCGACTCAGAAAATTTAAGTGACGGTATCCTAATTTTTCACAGGAGATTCAGATAAAAATTACGGAACGCTCTGGAAAAATTCCGTGACAGTTCCGTAAAATTTCCTACAACCACATTTCACTGCGGAATTACGGAAAAGATATGTCATTTTTATTGAATATTTCTCTCCGTGTGAAAAATCACAGATTTCATTGATTGTCTGTTCAATTATTGACTGAATTATCCAGTGAATTTTGAGGTAATAGAAAAATGGAGTAATTCGTGAATTTTTCGATTGTTCTAATTAAAGCTATTTAAATTCCCTTAAATTCAAAATTGATGGAAAATGTAAATATCGGACTAATTATTCCATGAAAATTAATAGAAATAAAAAAATTTCATGTGGATATATCCCCTAATTTTCAAATTAATTGAAATTTCAATTCACTCAGGGAATCTCCGTCCTTCTGCAGCTAAAAAATTAGAAATTCCATTGAATTTTCTATGATATTTGAATTAAATATTGTTGAATTCTATTTTTCTTCTTTCAAAATTGCAGGATTCAATCGTGAAAGAGGAGATTCATTCATTTTTACAGACCTACGAATAGAACGATGTTTTTAACATTTAGTTTTTATGATCGCGTGATAAAATGCCTGATGCGGTTGATGCTTTATCCCACCCTTTTCCGTTCTCACGTTGGAGTGTATAATGCTACCTCTAAACCGCCGCCACGGGATCTACCATAGACTATCTCCCCAAGACCTCTGTTCTCCACCGCTACTCATCCTCTCCGAAGTGACTGGAAAAATTAAGGATTCAGGGGGACGTGGAAATCCAGGATTTCATAGGCACCCCATGTCGTGAACACACACGTTCGGCATCATTTAGATAAGCTCGTGCAAAACCATCTGCCCCCTGCCAGGATAATCTTCCCAATTAAGCACTCTAATTAGACCTGATTTATTCGATTCGCCAGTTGCTCCCTCGTGGGTACTCCGAGCAACTGTTCCATACAATTTCTACAAATTGCAATGATAGCTCAACCGCTTGAAAATTCCAAACATTTTATAATTAGATTATTCCAAGTTAAATCTCAAAACTTATTCCGACTTTTATATCAAGTTTTAATGATACACTCAAACGTTCCACTTCGATCGAATCGTGAAAGTTTTGTCTCGAGGGTACGAATAGTTCTGTTTCCAGAAAGAAAGTTGAGGTGCGTCGTGAACCGCTCAACGGGTCACCGGAAATTTTTTGTCTCGTCGCTTGCAGAAGAAATTTATTGTCCAAACTTTTTGTGTTCAAACGTTTATCTTTTATATTTTTAACAAGTGCCATTTGTAATGACATTTCAGGAAATCTCTTCATGGAAAAATTTGATGTTTCATTGATTTCTTTAACCGTAGTCTGGTCACCAAACGCGCCCCTGCGATTGGTTACCTCCGCGGGGATTCCCCGCCGTGTTATTTAGGGTTTGGTGTTGCCGAATTTACTCTACACTACCCGGGCGCGTTTGGCGAGTTTCCGGCAACGTCGCGTCATGGACAATTTCATTTAACAGGGGAAAAATAACTCAGCTGTCCAAAATAATTTGTTTTCCTTAGGAATTTTGGGAAATATGTTGTACTCAAAACTATTGCAATTTTTTAGACACTTCAATTGGCGAAGTCACATTCTTTTGAATTTTTTCGGTTAGCCAGTCAATTGTGATTAAAGAAAAATGACGTGGGACGGGGTTTACCTCATAGGGTGACCAATCTATGGTTAAATTATCAATTTCAGTTAAATAATTCAGTAAATAATGTAAATTTAGATAAATGTATTCTTGAATTTTTCATCAACTCAAAATTGACAAAATTCTCATTTTATTTTACTTGAAATTGAAATTTCGTGGAATTTCACCCGAAATCGGGAATCTTATAACGTCTTCGGAACATTTCCGGTACAGTTAGAAATTTTTATTACGTGACAGTTCCATCAAAATTTCAAGGAATTCCGTTATTAAAAATCCACACGGTGTGAAAAATAACAGAAACTGTAAATTTTATTTCAATGATTCCATGAAATCAGGAAAATTCAGGTAAATAAATTTTCTATTAACTGAAGATTCAAGTTTCATTATTAATAAAAAATTTTCAAAGGTTTAAGTCTCAAGAGTACGCATGGTTTCGTTCCAGAAAGAAACTTTTTGTGTCCAAACGTAGATTTTTTTAACAAGTAACATTTTTAATAAAATTTGAGAGAATGTCTTCATTAAAAAATCTGATATTTCATTGATTTTTTAAAATTATAAATGTCAGTTCCATTATTCACTAAATGTTGTAAATTTAAATAAATGTATTCTTGAATTTGAAGCTGATGAAAAATTCAAGAAATTTGCAAAATTCTCATTTTATTCTACTTGAAATTATTCAAATTTCCTCGAGTTTCACCCGAAATTGGGAATCTTATAACGTTTTCGGAACCTTTCCGGTAGAGTTCGAAATTTTTATTACGTGACACTTCCATCAAAATTTCAAGAAATTCCGTCATTAGAAATCCACACTGTGTGAAAAATAACAGAAACAGTAAATTTTATTTCAATGATTCCATAAAATCAGGAAAATTCACATAAATATATTCTCAAATTTTCAATTAACTGAAGATTCAAGTTTGATTAAATTAAAAAATTTTCAAAGGTTTGAGTCTCGAGGGTACGTATAATTTTCTTTCCAGAAAGAAAGTTGAGATGCGTCGTGAACCTCTTAACGGGTCGCCGGAAAATGTTTTGTGTCATCACATGAAAAAACTTGCCCCGGGAGTTTACCTTTGACGTATGAAGGGCGGGCGTTCATTATGAACGTACATGCAGGCGCGTTCATGTCTTCGCACTAATTTTAGGACTTCCTGAGATTGAGTGGAACAGTCTGATATTTTTGTTTCCTATTCGCTTCGGTAAACTGACTCAAGTTTGACAGGCATTTGAGAAGGATCCATTCTCTTTTACTGCGCGTACCAAATCGTAAAACTGCTCGGGAAATTGCAAGTGATGGGAAACTATTTTATTGTGCCATCAGAAATTTTTACTTTTAAAATATTCTCGATGTTTTCTCCCCCGAACTATTACAAAAAACCGAAATCCAGGCGTAAAAATCAGGAGATTTCAAATGTCACTGAAAATCCCATAAAATTATGAATTATTCAGCAACAGAAACACGAGAATTCAGACGAAACATGAATATTTAGTATCAAATCACACATAATTTTCAATTAACATAAAATTCCAGAATATATTTACCTGAACGTTTCTGATTTCTGCTAATTTATTCGGAATAATTAAACTGAAATTTACAGCTTCAACCAACTTGTCGATAAAATTTCGAATCTTTTAAAACTTTGAAATTCTAAGGTAAATAATCCTACGCTCATGTAGCTACGGTGAACCGTCGTTTACTAAAGTTCTGAAACAAAGTACATAGGATGCAAGTTTACATGATTTCAGAACTTTAGTAAATGATCGAACACATCATTAGTCGAATATTTCTATTGAAATTAGTGTAAAGATGCGATGTTTTAAATTAGATATCAGAAAGTAAAAACTTCAAAATGATAAGTCACTTACATCAATCGTCATAATTACTATTTTTAATAAATAATCGTCCATAAACGATGAATAAACGATCAATGAAATTATAATGTGATAAGAAAATCCGAGAAATGTAGGGAGGATGGGGTAAAACGGACACTTTTGACTTTTTTAAAAATGTTAATAGAGGTTGAAATGTTGATGAAAGTCAATAATTTTTCTTTCAATGCAAAGAACAATTCTTTCCCTTTGTGATGAGCCTAAACTGAACTGAATTGATAAATTTGTTGCTGAGTTATGAATAATTTTAAAAAAGTCTAAAGTGTCCATTTTACCCCACCCTCCCCTACCGGAAATATCATCGAAAAATTATCAACATTACGGTATCAATTTCCGAGTGCACTGTTCCCAGTAAAATTGGAAATGTCCATTAAATCTCCGTAATGAGGAAATAGGGCTGTTGCTCTGTCCTATCCCAATGTATCCGTATGACAAGCAATCTCTGGATGACACTTGACTGCCCAGTTCAGTGTGCTAGCCCAACGATTACCTCAAATGACTCCTAATTCCCTATTTATCTTCTTATCACATTCTCAAGAGCCCTCCAATTGTTTATTCTCGTTGTTGTCACTGAAGGGCATTTCTCCCAGCGATCAATCACTCGTGCGCCCCACAAATTCTCCCCCAAAAATCCCGCGGAATGTCGCACCGAGATATAACAGAACAAATGACCCAAGTGAGCTGATAAATTCGGCCGTCCACATTTTTCCCTTGCCCTGAAATTTGAGAACAGGTGAGAGATCTTCATTACTACAAACTTGATGTAGAGTCCAGAGAGACATCTAATGCGTCGACGTAGTGTTCCCTCTCAGCTGCAGTGTGCGGTTTGGTTGGGCGTCGCGACGGCCTGTTTGCTCGTTATTTTGAGAAGCCGAGGAGTCGCACGCGAGTGGCGACCGCGAGAGGTGCGATTGCTGGAGAAAACAACTCCATCCATAATTCATTAGCTCAATAATCGTCTGTACCACTTGAAAAAAAAGCCACCCCAAACATTTCAATGCTCTCTTCTAATAGTCTCGTAATTACTCAATGAGCAATTAATAATTGTGATTAATTGTGCGGATCAGGGGTTCTATTAAACCACCCCCCGGGCTATTTATAAAGAACCTGAAAGGGGTCATGAATTCCATCTTGTGCGCGGAAGTGATCAAGTTTCATAATTGAAATACCCACAGAAACGATGAAGTGATTATTCTCATGGATCATTGTTAATTATGTACACAACACCCCGGAGATGCTATCACGAGGGGGCAGGAAATTACAATACCCTCCCGATTCCCGCCCAATTCGGCTACTTTGTTCCCATAAATGGGATTTATTGTATTGGAACACCTCCGCAACGGCCGCGTCCACGAGGTGCTTCATCATCGCTCTGGTGAGCTCAAAGCAAAACAACAATCGTAGAGTTATTTTTTTCGACAGTTGTCTCTTCCATTGAATCGATATATCTGAAGAAATGAAAATGCACTCGCAGGTGCATTCATTCAAATATGCCGCGTGCTAAATGGAAAAAGGTCGTATAAACCTAATCTAGGGAACATGAAATCTGGACGATTTGAGCTCTTTAGAATCATTTTAATCCAACTTTTGAAGAAAAAAAATTTTTTTTTTTGGCGCATACGACCTTTTCCCACGAATTTTTCTTCAGTAGAAATTTCTCTAATAGTACGACCGAATATCAGAAAAATGAAGAGAAAACAGTGAAAAGATATTTTTTTCATTTTTCCATTATTGGAGAAATATTTGTGGAAATAGCTCGTATGGGCCAAAAAAAATTGTTATGAAAAGTTTGGTCAAAGTGATTCTGCAGAGCCGAAATCTCCAAATTTCGTGTTCCCTAGATTAGGTTTATACGACCTTTTTCCACTTCGTTGATATAAAAATCTCAAAATGGTCAATACATCTTTTTCCACTTGTCACGCGAAATAATTACACGCAAAATTGTCACCAAAAATCAGTAGTGAAATGGTCAAACGGTGTAAATCAATTCTATTCTAGCGCCAGTTCTCGATGAATATCTCAAATTCTAATGGAGTTAGCAAAATTTTTCTAAAAATCTTTTTTGTAAAGAAAAGTGAAGACTGTCGAAAAAGATCTTACAAAAATTTCGCTGTCTTTCGTAAATTCCGATTTATTCAACAAAAACTCAACCGGGAGCTATGTCGACTAAAACCGATCGAGGACTTCACTGCTGAAATATTTTATCATTACTGTTGACTTTGAACAAAATAAATTCAACACTGGGTACCTCATAAAATTCTAGATTATGAAAAAATCACTCAATGAATATAAACCACAAAATAGAAGACACAATAATTGAATAGTCGACGCAATTAAAAATAAAAATCATTGAAAATATTCCTTCATTTATTATTATTTGAACATTGATATGGCACTGCAAACATTGACATTAAAGACTCTAAATCTACATTAGATCTAATTACACATAAATCCGGTGGATAAATATCTCAGATTGATAGAAACTCTTTACGATAAATTCCGTGAAAAAATCGTCTAACGGATCAGTCTGTAAAATCACAATAGCCCCCCGCGATCATCAAGTAGTTTCCACGGCAGAAACTTTTTTAATCGAAGTCCTCTTGATGGACAATTTCGTCTGAATTTCCCGCAGTGTCTTTCCCTTAGTCTCGGGAACAAATACAAACGAAAACACAGCTGATGCACAGGCCATGGACGCAAAAAGCCAGAAGGTCTTGGCTTGTCCAATGAGATAGATCATCGGTGGGTAGAATTTCGTGACGACAAATACAAGTGTCCAATTGACAATAATTGACATACTGATAGCGACCCCCTTGGTCTCAGGAGGGAACAATTCACTGATGACAGCGAATGGTACCGATCCAAAACCAAGACTAAAAACAACATTAAACAGAGCAAGACTTGTAAGTGGCAGCCAAGCAATGGACCTGACATCAAAGCCATCAGTCTGCAGCTTGAAATAATACCCAAGTACACCAAGGCAAAGTGTCATAGCAGTGCCAGACAACACCAGCAGTGGTTTCCTCCCAAATTTGTCAATAGTAACAGCGACAACTGCTGCCATAACCACTTCAATAAGTCCTATAATGATGGTAGCTAAAAACGGATCAATGGAGCTCTCGGCTTCCTGGAAGATTTTAACAGTGTAGAATAGAACAGCATCAATTCCACACATCTGTTGAAACCACATGAGCCCGAGACATGTGCCAATGGCCTTTCTTCCAGCACGTGTACCAATTAAGTCCCTAAACCCACCACGACTCCTCATGACCCGATCAGCCTCCTCCTGGAGTACAGTTATCTCCAATTTGGGCTCGTAAAATCTACCCCTCAAAATGCCGAGTGATTTTTCTGCCTCTTTGATGCGATTATTTTGGACAAGCCATATGGGTGACTCAGGGAGAAAGTAAAAAGAGAGTAGAAAGGGTACAAGCATACCGCAGCAAGCGATATTGAGGATAATGTAGCTGGTGTAGGCACCAACGATGTAGATAAAAACAACACCGGAGGAGAATAACAGTGCGAAGCATGATCCTAGGGCACCACGAATCGAGGGTTCAGCCACCTCGCCGATGTAAAGTGGTACTAGAACACACACTGCACCAGATCCAATGCCTCCCATAAATCTGGCCGCATACAAGCTGTTTAAACTACGTAGAAATATGATCATTAGCCAGGACAGCAGTAGTGGAATTGTTGTTATCATTAATGCTGATTTTCTTCCGATGCTGTCGGCTATCATTCCCGCTGGTAGTGCACCCACAACGGCACCCAGAGGCATCAGCGAACTGACCCAGGACACTTGTGTGCCATCAAGGCCACCGAGAAACGATGTATTCAGCTCCAAGTGAGGTATCGTAGGCGATGTCCAGCTCAATGTCATTCCGCTCTGCATTGCCATCAATCCAACTGTGAACAGAAAGCCGATAAGACCTGTTATCGATCTATTTTCCACGGAGATGCAATCGGTATTCAGGTTAATACACAATGATACGTGTGGTGGTGTTACATTGTTTTTAATTCTTAGAAATTCAGAATGAAGCGAGTATATTTGCCGGAGAGACTGGCTGTTTGATCGATGGGTGCATTAACTCGGATTCATTATTGAATCGAGCACTTATCACTCTCAGTGACCGTGAATATCATTTTTTATCCTCTTCTTTTCCTTGACTTTTTGACACAACTCAATTGCCACTTCTTTATCATTATCTTGAGAAGTTTAGTCTCATGTTGTGCTTGTAATAATTAAGTGGGGGGGACATTAATCCTGGGGATTTTGTGCGGTAATGAGTATACAGTGGTTGTAATCAGTTGAGTGATGCTTACCTATCAATGTCGATAGACATTGGAAAATTTTTTGGCCCTCCTTGAGTCTTGCCGGCTTGAGTATCGGCTCCAAAACTCCATTCTTTTCTTTGTAATTGGCTTCCTTCGGCTCTTTAGTTTCCACTATTTGCATTTCCATAGTGTACTCACATTTACCAGTGTCTTCAGTATCTTCACGCGACATATCCTGTCACTCACTCAATGATACACTGAACAAAACGATCACAAAACCACTCCGCTAAAATTCCCTTACCCCGTCTTTGTCGTCTTTACGGTTTCGTTATCTTGGAAGATTTATACCCGATGCAAGAGCTGTAGTTGTCTTCTATATATAATTGACTTTTGAGTTTACCCTGTTCGATCTGGCTCGTGAGCGTCTGAATTGGCGTTTTTCTCTTTGAAATACACTGGCAAGAAACATCTCTCGAACTTTGAGGGGGTTGAAGTGAATGGGAATATCCTTGTGTTCTTATTTTTTTTTTTTGCTATTTCATCACATGATCCATCATTTTCCCACCACTCGATGTATTGAGGATTGATCGAGGGGACAATCACCCCGGGGCAATTTGCAATCGGCCTCTCAACAATGACTTTATACCACGTCCCCCTCAATGTTGGTCTTCGCACATCGTCATCCAGACTGTCTGACGACAATGATGATCGTGCCTCGGCCTAACAACCAGTACTCCTTCTCTTGACTACCACTATCGGGGGGGGCCCACTTCAATAATGGCGATTAGCCCTCCAATCGCGTCTGATAAAGTATTTTGTCGTGAGACACGTGCATACATGGTTTCTCACACCATCGTTGAAAAATACGTAATGACTCCTGGCGACACTTCCTCGCCTACTTATACATCACGAGATCTAGGCGATTGTCTTGGGGGCACTATTCTGGAAGAACTTGTCTCTGTCACGTGATGCGAAAAATTGAGTCCAAATTTAATTCATCATTGTATTATTTGTTCTGACAGTTAATGTCTTGATCCGGTCGTTTTAGAATTGAGACGAGAGCGACACGCGTTTTCAATTAAGAGTATGACCCTCAAGTGATAATCTCTCGTCTCATTTTTCATGAGATAATTGCAAATTAGAACACGTAATTCTCTAATTCAGCATCAACTCGATTTCATTCTTTACTATTTGTGTCAGTGTTATGGATGATTGTTCATTTTTCACTGGGGGGGTGTTGACTCTTCTTTTTAGGACTCGGCTGGACTAAAATCTTGCGAATTTGATAGAAAATTCTGGTGAACTTCGACAGAATCACTGATTCGACTAAAAATCGTATTAGTTTCTGGGCGGTTCCATTGGTACAAATGAATTATTTGTATAACATCGAAATTAGTGTAAAACAATGCCACAGACTGTTTTATTTCTCTGTATTGAATTTTTTTTTGCTATTCCAAAAATATTCAGAATTTTGTGCCGTATTTTATGAGTTATGTAAGATTAGGCTCTATTTCTGACAGTTCATGAGATACTAACTGAATGAAATTCTCCTAACTTTAACCGTTTGTGCGATACTGTGTTGTGAACAATTGCATTGTTATAAATAAATAGACGGCATTTGATTCCGCAAAAAGAGTGGTCATATCTACAATTAGCGACCTGATGAACATAAAGTCCGATGATAAAATCTTGTGGACATCTCAATGGACACAGAAATGCCCCTGGCGTATGGACTATGTAGGATTTCCTCGACGTGCGTTTTCTAAGTTTTCTCCACCCTATTTTTTTTCTCTTTTCATTTAAAAATCAAATGAAAAAAAAAAGAAAATTTGAGCCGAGAAATTTCTTTAAAAAATCAAATTCTATAAAATTTTTCCACAGAATATTTTCCACTGAACATTTCAATTGAAAAAAAAAAAACGGACAGATAAGCTGCAGAATTTTTTGATAGAATCGATAGAATTTGATAGAAAATTTGGTGATTTGATAGAATTTGAGAGAAAAATAATAGAAAATTCATCAGAAATCCAATAGAATTCCAATAGAATCCAATACATTTTTTTCACACGTTTCGGCGTGATTGTTCTCCAATATTATCTCTTTCTGGAAGTTCGTTTTTATGACTTCATACCGAGGGCAAAAAATGCAGGAGATACTCGAGATATCGCTGTTTGAATGCCGCAAGCCACCATTGATTATCACAGAGCTGTGTTTGCAGATTTCAATGAATTATCTGATAAAATTTTTTGCTGATAAATCTCTAGGGAATTGTGAAAGCTCAGATCTATAAGTGTCAATACCTTGAAATTAAATATTGTAGATAATTAATTTTCCATTGATAATGTCTCATCTCCGGAGTAACGACTAATGACGAAGATTGAATTTTGATGGCTTTTATAATCAGTACTAGCTCCATTACCGATTGCCATTCGACTTTCGATTACATCAATTTTGGATTTATTCAATCAATAATTGAAGGAAAGATTGGTTGATTGGTGGGGTAATGAGGATCAAATTATAAGTTTGATATTCAACTACAAATATAAAACAAACAATTAACGAAAAAAATGTTTCTAAAGCAGTTGAATTTTCTTAGTAGGATGGGGTGAATCATATGCTTCAAATATTATTAATTAACATCGCATTGGGAAAAAAATGTAATATAATGAAGAAAATATTCGCTCGTTATTTTTTATGAATAAAAGCTAAGATAGAGTGTTGAGAAACGATGGCGAAAAAAATTTTAAGAGACTAGAAATTGAGCAATGACTTAAATTGTGATACTGTTACATTATCATTAGTTATTATACATTATTGTTATAAAAACAATTTACTGGAGTGTTATTGGAAATATTTTTTGGCTTGTGCAGATGTAAAACGGTAACAGTAGCATCAAGGAAATCAAGTATTCTATTCTAGTTAACAAATTGTATTTCAAACTAACAATATAGTTCAGACGGTTTATTTCGGCGTTTATAGGGGAGAGTCGGGCAAAATGAACAGTCGAAAAACGACTGTTTGAGGCAGTTCAAGCGAAAAAATTGTTTTTATCAAATTTTTTAAAATTAACTCTTATTAACTTTTTTTCATTCTTGGGAGTACTGATGAGAATAATAATTTTACATCCAATCGAATGGAAAATTATTGAGAAAATTCGTATAATCACCCTAATCTAATCAATTGGATTATAATCCAATGAATTATAAGACGAATAGAAAATTATTATTCTCATCAGTACTCCCATTAATAAAAAAAAGTTGAACAAAAGTTGATAGAAAAACATTTTTTTTTGCTTGAATTGCGTCAAATAGTCGGTTTTCTGCTGCTCCATTTTGCCCCACCCTCCTATTGAAATAAAATACTATTTAATTCTGTTGAAATTATTACGGAAATTAAAGGCAATGAAATCGTTCTTTTCAGCCCGGAAGTGGTTGAGCCACGCCGTTGGAGCAATTATCCCGAGAGTCAACGAAACGGTTCAATATCCCCGGATCCATCAGGAACTCCACCACCGCCACCAGCAAATTATCGTCCGGCAAATGCCCTTCCAAACGGCGTGATACCAACAACTGAACCCATTCTCGAGGTATTGGACGAGCCGGTCGATGAACCCGTAAGTACAAATACTGAAATAATCGTGAAAATATAATGAAGACGCTGAGTAGGAAACATATATTATTTTTTTTTATCACACGGAACGATCGCAGTATCGTAGGCACCGCGTACAGAGCATTCTGCAGGAAATAATACTGAGAACTTGTTATTCCGGTTATTTGGTACCTAGGGGATACGTGTGAGGATCATTTGCGATGAAAACTATTCCCAATAGTTCAATCGGAAATGATGGTAATGGGTACTGAATGGCCATCTGAAAGGTTCATTCAACGTCTAGAAGTTCAATTGTGGGAATGAGGGAGGAAATTCAAGCGAAGAATCCACAAATGCGCTATCATTTGAATAATGACGTATCATTTGGCTGCTGTTAAGGCAGATAGCTCTCTTCACCCGGGTAATGAAGCTCAGTCGGTACTCAGGTATCCCCTTGCTATCGACAAACCTGCAGCTCTCTGCGAGTCCTTTGAACCGACATTGTTTGGAAAAATTCATAATTCGATAGGTCGTTGTTCGCTCGCTTCGCTCGCTCCTATTGCGGGTGACTCGTTAGGGGTCGAACCAATAACTTCGCGGCCAGTTCCCATTTTTCGGATTGTTAAAAAGAAAAAACGAAAATTTTGACATTTTCATCCGGATAACAGGAAAACGACTGGAACGATTTTGCTCAGAATCCAATCGAAATCGAATTACATTTCAGTAGCGAAGTGGTAAAACGGTACAAGACAATTTTGACTATCGACCAGTTTTCAATGAATATCTCGGAAAGGGAGATGGCAAAATTTTTGTTATGAACTTTTTTGTAGAGTCGATTGAGAGCTACAACAAATGTAATTACTAAAATTTCGCTATCTCCCTTAGATTCGGAAATATTCCTCAAACACTCAACGGAGAGATAAGTCGACTTGAACAGCTTTACCACTTCGCTACTGATTTAGATGCATCGACCGTACTAAAAAAATCAAAAATCATTATTATTCTCGGTAAAATTATTGAATTTTCAAAGAAAACTCGTTTTCTTCGATTATTTCACAAGTTTTCGATCGTTTTCCGATCGAAGAGACGATCGGTTTCATAACCTTATCATTTCTAAGTCACATTAACACGCATCGATTGAAAAATAGTCTATTTTGATACGATATTTTCTGAAAATGATGTTACGACTTCATGAAACTTACTGAATATCTTCATGACTCTCACATGAAGAACAAAAGTTGCGCCGTTTTGTTGCGCCGTTTTTGATGAAAGACTTTTCGTTTACGAGTAAATAAAAAGGCACTTTTCGGCACGAGGTGAACATAGCAACAGTGTTAAAATAGTATATTTCATTACGAGTGCGGAAAAGAGTTTTTTGGCTCGTGGGAGGTTTATAGTACGCGCCGAAGGCGAGTGATATAATCCCACGAGCCAAAAACACTTTATGTCATTGGGGCCAATAAAAGTTTCGCTCGGTTAGATCGCGGTTTTCGGGCCCAACGACATAAAATATCGCATGTCACATGGCGATAAAAGCATTATCTGGCGAATGTGGGTTTATAATTCGAGCCGAAGGCAATAATACTTTTATCGCCTTATGACATAAGATACTATTTCCCACGAGTATCGAACGATATTTTTCATCACAATGTGTGGAAAAGGGACGTTTTAGGCACCTTTCGCGTGCCTCAAAACTTACTTTTTCGCACAGCGTGATGAAAATATTTTTTCATTCAGTATCATCCTCCTTTCCTTCTTGTCTAAAACCTACCAATGAATATGCATGCGATGTTCTCCACTCAAGAGATTATTTTTGTCATATTATGTCCACTTTACTCGGAGCGCAGAATACTTGAACTGAAATCTACACTTGTTATCCATTTTTCAACAAATTGTGAATTTTCAATAACGAAATTCCTTGAAATTTGTACTGAATTTTTTCAGCCAAAATTTTTTAAAACTCTGGGCTGACATTGAATCCTCCTAAGGCTTCTTAGAAATCAATTCGAATTAGGGAATGATAGAAAATCAATCTCCGTTCGTAACCTACTATAACACAAAGGGATTATGGATTTGTTTACGTACAGAAATTGGGTCTGAACTCTGCTGATCTGTAAGGCTTCTAATCCGTTTTGAGCCGCATAATATCCGTCAGCTTCTTCGAGAGCATTCACAACGCTTTGTCGACTGAATCAATAAGTATGTCAGTCCTATCTTCACATTCATAATGGAATGTTCATTTTTGTTCTGCAGAAGCGCTCATTTATTGATTTTGAATTCACCCCATTTTTTTTCTGCCAACTACATCTACTTCATTTTATTTCATTTGACACTTGATATTCATTTCACTTGACATTTATTCCATTCGTTTAATTACTTCGACTTGATTTTAACCCTAAAATTTTTTGAAAATTAGCAAACCCTCCTCCTCAATAAATGAATCGCCACTGCAGGAATGTGAGAAAGTCAAAATAATTTTCGGTTTAAACGGCACGAGGAAGTGTTCAACCGTGATTGCACATCAAGACCTCGTCATCTGGCCTAATCACCCCGTGAAATTCAATAGCCTGATAAAACACTGAGAACCGCCCCCTTCGACACCAGTGCAATCCACCACCATGACTGACGTTAGCGTGCGCCTGATTGTGATATACCCGAGTGCCCCATGTGCCCATAGGCCGTTACGGAGTTGTATTACCTTAGTGCTTTGATGAGCACCGTGGAAAGAGGACGCGTGCAAATTTTCCAGCCGCGTCATAACCCGATACCCCGGGATCAATCGGTGTTTACATCGGGTCAATCATCGAGAGAGTCATGAAGATATTCAGTAAATTTTTTCGTGGTGATAAGACGCGTGTTACATCCGCGAAATCACGTGCCAGTTCAACGAGACGTAGAGCTCGATCGAGGACTTATATTGGACCACCTCATCTGCCGAGGGATGATTTCTTGTTTGGGGATGCTGCTAGCACTAGCACACGACGTCATCGACGTAAACATAGGGTAGGAGACATCAAATTCCATTTTTGCTTCCAATTTTTCGCGGTTGATATTTTATTTTTGAGAGTAACGCCGGTTTTTCGTGCAATTTATTCATTTGTTGTGGGGTAATGGTGACAAGGTGAGGAAAATTTTGACGATTTGACAATGATAAAGCCTCGTCCGCCCAGATTTATCCTCCAGTATTAAATTTCGCTCCAACACGCCCCAAAATATCACTCGAACTCAGCGATTTGTGTAAACGATAACAATATTGCATTTTCCCATGATCACACAGAGGGATGATTTCTTGTTTGGGGTTGTGCTAGAACTAGCACACGACGTCATCGAGGTAAACATAGGGTAGGAGACATCAAATTCCATTTTTGCTTCCAATTTTTCGCGTTTGATATTTTATTTTTGAGAGTAACGCTGGTTTTTCGCGCAATTTATTCATTTGTTGTGGGTTAATGGTGACAAGGTGAGGAAAATTTTGACGATTTGACAATGATAAAGCCTCGTCTTCCCAGGTTTATCCTCCAGTATTAAATTTCACTCCAGCACGCCCCAAAATATCACTCGAACCCAGCGATTTGTGTAAACGATAACAATTGCATTTTCCCATGACCACACAGAGGGATGATTTCTTGTTTGGGGTTGCACTAGCACACGACGTCGGTTCTTCTCGCAATTTATTTATTTTTCATAAATTAATATTAACACGTTGGGGAAATTTTTGATGATTTGACACTGATAAAGCTCCATCTGCCCAACTTTATCCTCCAGTATACACGGAGAGAAATGTTCAGTAAAAATTACGGAACTCACAGTTCGCTCACCGATTACGCAATCGACTCAGAAAATTTAAGTGACAGTATCGTAATTTTTCGCAGGAGATTCAGGTAAAAATTACGGAACGCTCTGGAAAAATTCCATGATTTTAGGTAAAAATTAGTGATGCCGTCGAGACTAGTCGAGAATTATTTTGAAGAGATCATCACAGCCTGGAAAAACATCGAAAGTTTTGGAATTGGATCGGTGCATCTCGTCACAATTCCGGGAGGATTTATCTTGCCTGGATCTCAAGACGAGACAGATATCGAGACAAACATTAAAAAAAAAGAAAATACTGAAACTCACACTAGATGGATTCTTCCAAATTCGTGACGAGATGCACCGATCCAATGTCTTTCGAGATTACGACGATTCCTAAACTTTCGATGTTTTTTTAGACCGTGATGATCTTTCCAAAATAATTCTCGTCTAGTCTCGGCGGCCTCACTAGTAAAAATTACGTGACAGTTCCGTAAAATTGTCTACAACCACAATTCTCTCCGGAATTACGGAAAAGATACGTAATTTTAAAGCCCCATCCGTCCAGCTTTATCCTCCAGTATCAAGTTTCACTCCAGCACGCCCCAAAATATCACTCGAGCCCAGCGATTTGATTGATACAGTCGTAATAAATCCGCATGCATTCGTGCAAACGACATGACAATTGCATTTTCCCATGGCCACACAGTGCTTTCCGGATGCCCCACCTTTCCCACGTTCGAGGGTACACAACCAACAGCATAACACACATTGTCCTTAGCCGTTCAACTCCTCTTGACCTTGACACTAAGCCTCTTCACCTGAGGTGTGCGCACTTCTTTGCAATGTAAAAAGCCACTCTACTTCCGGAGGAAACGTCCATGAAATTCATTTGCACGGTCCTCGTACCTCTGGAGTAGAACGAACAGATATAATCCTTGGGGCATTGAGGTTCAATGAGCAAACGAATTTCCATTCGTGTCAAAATCACCGACAAGTGGTTATTAATTACGTGGATATTTGTTCTGCCGCAATAACGTACCGGGCAATTACCTGTCCTGAAATATGTATGGCATGCTAATGCCACTGTACCGATAGCCACCCTATATGCTACATCGCATGTTCTTTTTGTTAAACTAGATTGGAATGCACATTCACCGCGTATTTATTGCCTTCTATAATTATACTTCGATCTTCATGCATTGACAGCAGAAATCAATGAATAATTGCGAA